ATTTTCAAATTATGTTTTAGACCAAAACCCTGAATCAAAACTATTGAAAAACAAAGTCTAATCAGGGATCAGGCAATGTATCCATTACTATTTCATGTAATAACTTTCTGTGAGTTAGCTTTTAAAGGCATTAATTAAGCACCACATCAAACCAAAGCATTTGAACTCTGAATCATTTATTTACATCTTAAGCATTTAATTAGGTAAAATTAAACCAAAATTGGTGGAATTCCCCTTTGATAGGTTTTGTGCTCTTTCACTTCTTCTAGGGCATTGCTCCAAAGAAGTTTGCTTGTCCAGCTGTCATAATACAGGTTACAGAAACTGAAATTTAGTATGAATTGATAAATGAAAATCCATCTGAAAAAAACTGCACCAATAACAAAAAGATTAGTGCTCTACACCCCTTTTCATGGTTATGTACATTACTCCAACTTCATGATGTACCCCACACATTTCTAAAACCAAAACTATGTCCTTTCATACATGCTGCTGCTGCTTCACACAGTATGTGCAAAAGTCAGAGACCACCTTTGATTTAGTTAATTTCCAGTCAAAATGCCAATTAAGTACAAATCACAATTTTTTCAAAGTAAAAGAAGTGACACAGGAGTTTCCAAAACTGAAGTTCAAAAAATGATCGAAAGGTAAAGAAAGTCAACTGTGCAACACTTGGAACACCACCAAAACTCTTGCTGCAGATCTGAAAAAATCCACAGGTGTTTCTGTCCATCCTTCCACAGTGAGAGGACAACTCAATACTGTGGACCTGAAGGGATGTGCAGCTGTGAAGAAGCTGTTACTGAGAAAATGAAATAAGTAATAAATAAATAATTTTTAAATCAAACAAAGAAGCTGCTGGTGTTCTCAGAACAATGTACTGACCACCCCAGAGTCCAGACCGCAACTGAATCACTTTTCACTGAATGTGTTTGGGATTACTTGGATTGTGAGAGGCAGAAAAATGATGATGGAAAGATTTGATATTTGATTTAGTTGCTGAGGTATTTGTGTAATTTTCAATTAAGTATACAGTACTGTGCAAAAGTTTTAGGCACCTGCCTACATATCTCTTGAGTATGTGTTTATTTGCTCAGAAATACATTAATAATAACACTAACAATAAACCCAAACAACATTATTCAATAGGAAGTGATTTTATGTATACCAATGTTTTTCTTTCACCCTTTCCAAACCTCTTCTCATGTCAGCCTTGTATTATTTTTAATTATTATCCAACACCTGGTTTGACTAATCAATACTTCATTATGTTAAATCAAAAGTGCAGGTAATGGAATTTAACAAATCTCTGTGACGGCTGGAGGCGTCCAGGAGAAATGTGCCAAACTTTGTTTTTAAAACTAGCCCAAAAGATATCTGTTGATTAAAAGACATACTTGTTATTTTTTACCCTATGTTTAGTTGCACATATGATGATGATATATTGCGTTTTTACATTTCGAATCAGCTGCACTGAATGGCCATTTTGACTGGAAATTACCTTAATAAAGTTTGATCTCTGACTAGTGCGCAGTCCTGCATTGGGTTTCAATCAGCCAAAGGTCTGAATCTTTGCATCCGTCCATTAGGAGCAGACAGAGAGGGTGAAAGCTCAAGTCTGAGTTGCATCATGTCTTGTTGGAATTAGCCACGGGTAAAGACACATGAAGCAGGAGGACAGAGGAGCGGGGCGAGGTTCAGGCTAATTATGTGAATCACTCACACACACACTTCAATTAGATGGACACAAGTGTGGCCCAGGGGGGAACTTAATGATCACAAAGCAGGAAAGCTCAATAGAAATCAGCTTAGAGAGGAACAGCGGGCCCTGGGGTCGACCCCGGCACATCCAAACACCGCTGTCTGGACAGGTGCTGCAGATGCAGACACACACACACATATATGCACACAGAAACAGTCACAAATTAGTGTAAGATAAATAGAACATAAATAGACAGACAAACATGACATCTATTGCATAAACAAGCATACACACATACTATTATACAATAAAACACTGACAAATATGACACACACACTAACAACAACTGCTGCAGTGAATGAGTCACTTGTTGTGCTTGTTTCTGTAATTGGTTTCTAAAAATCTTGGCAAAAAAACTAAAAAGCCCATGTGACTCGCAGTGGCCTAAATTACGTGTAATCTAGTGTTTTGCAATGCATGCCTGAAAAAAATGAAAGTATGAGAATGGATGAATAAATATATCCAGTTCACCACTCACTACCAAATGGACATTAAGCAGCCACTCACTTTTTATTAATTATTATATTATTTAATATCACTGCAGAGGCAGCCTTTTAGCAGACATCTATGCAGTGGACAGTCTGAATGCTAATAGCTTCTTTGCTCCTTTGCTATGAGCGTTTGCGTTGGATGGAGCTGCTTATGATTCTGAATGCACTGCCTTGATTAATGACTCCTATTTAGCACAAACATGCTCAATGAAGGCAGCGCACCCACCCATAGAGCTGAAGAGGACACACCACCGAGACACCATAGACATCATTCTTCATTTACAACCATAAAAACACCAACATAGTAAACCTGACATAATTTTATGTGGGTATTATTTATAGATAAGTATGAAATCTGTTTATTATAATTTGATGGCAATTATTCCTATAGAAGTACAAAGTGAGTAGCTTGGCATTTATTCATGTCCAAGGATGGAATGTGTACAGTGGCATGCAAAAGTTTGATCACCCTGGTAAAGATTTCTGTTAAATGATGACCTGATTTACAACAGGCGTGAAGTTATATAGAACAACAAAAAAGGAAAATGGCCAGAAGCAGAAGTTTGAAGGTTGGGCACCCTGAATTGTCAGTGTTTAGCAATGCCAACTTTGTCAAGTATCAGCAAATATCAACATTTTGAGATGTGTTCAGGATTATTATCCTGTTGCAAAAAACATCTTTTCATCTTCAACTTTTTACATATGGTGTGAAGTTTGCTTCTAGAATTTGCTGGTATTTTACTGAATCCATTCTTCACTCTGCAGTCAAATGTTCCCTGTGCCACTGGTTCCAACACAAGCCCAAAGCTTGATGGATTCACCCCCATGGTTAACAGTTGGAGAGATATTTTCAGATGGGGGGGTTTGATTTGCCTTTCTAGCGATCCTATGAGCAGTCTCTGAAAGTTTTCTTGGTCTTAAAGCCCTCAACTTGACCTCCACAGTTCCTGTTTAGTGCCATTTCTTAATTACATTACAAACTGAGGAAACAGCTACCTGATTATGCTTTGCCATTTTTGTATAGCCTTCTCCTGCTTTGTGGGCATCAATTATTTTAGTTTTCAGAGTGTTAGGCAGCTGCTTAGAGGAGCCAATGGCTGCTAATTGTTGGGACAAGGTTTGAGGAGTATTTATAAAGCTTTAAAATTTGCATCACCTGTTCTTTCCTGATGAAGACTGTGAATAAACCATAGTCCTAACAAGCTAATTAAGGTCCGAGACATTGGTAAAGGTTCACCGAGAGCCTAAGTCTCTTTGAGTACCCAAACCTTTGCGTGGTGCTCCTTTCGTTTTTTTCACTCTGATCTGCTTTTTGGAGATCAGTTCATCTTATACTCGCTTAACTATTCACAGTAACAGACATTTTGATCAAGGGTGCCCAAACGTTTTCATGCCACTGCATACAGAGTTCATTGCTTCACTTTGAATAAATTGTCTTGACGAATACACACCAAATCTGTCAAGAGGGTGTCCTGGTATTAATTCATGGTAAACTAAATCACCGTTAGGGTAAATTTGCATGTGAAAGATGACGCGTCAACAAGAAGAGGCAGCTCTGAAAAGCTGCAGTAAGTGAGATCCATCCGTTCAGCTTGGGAAAACCCTCTGTGGTCATCCGAGACAGCACTGATGAGCCCCTGAACTGAGTACTTTCCGTGCAGAAAGCGGAGTATTAACTAATAGCCAATAGTAGCGCAGGAGGCGGGGCTTGTCGGAATACGGGTGTGAAAACAAACAAGACTTGAAAAACAGACAGAGGACTCACCATTGAGATCGTTCAGTTTATGCATTATACACTGTGGTCATTTAACCCTGTATTCGCAAGGACGCTCCGAGTCCTTGTGTATTTATTTATTTATTTATTTATTTATTTATTTATTAGTTAGTTATTTAGTTAGTTAGTTAGCTATTCTGACGAGCAAATGATCCCACAATAAAAATGCGACAAAGTATGCGTGTTTGACACACACGGTAAGGTAAAAAAAATATATATATATGTAAAAGAGAAAAAAAATAAGGGTCGATTTATTTATTTATTTATTTACATCGCGAGGACCATAAATTGTCCTACGCCCTCCTGCCTGGTACACATTGCAAGGAATTATGTTTGAGATAGAGGTTGATAAAAATATGAAATGGGAAAAATATCATATCATCAATATCAATATCATCATTTCAAGTTTATTTATTTATTTATTTGCACTACAGTACAATAAATACAACAGCTACATCCCCGCCTGCCCTGGTGGGAATTACATTGAATTATGTTTAATAAACACTACACAAAAACGAAAGTTGGTTACAATGTCGGAATATAGGTGGGAAAAAGGTACAGCCTCTTCTTCGAGTTACAACAGTGACATCCAGCGAAGAGCTGAGACGCAACGCTGACCTTCGCAACACCTTCATTTTAGTGTGTAACAAAGCATTAAAACCTTTTTTCTGTTAATACAGGTTTAAAACAGTTTGAGAACTCTTGTAGGCAAAGAGCGCAAAGATGAAGCTCAGACAGCGCTTCAGTGAAGCCGCGAACAGAGTCAGAGCCGCTTTTTCTTCCTTTTTTCCGTTATTTATTCATTCCTTTTGGTTTTCCACAGGCGGGGCGGAGCTCGGCTGCCTTAACGTGGGCAGCACGTGGGCAACGAGTCTGAGAGAGAGAGAACGAGTCCGAGAGAGAGAGAACGAGTCCGAGAGAGAGAGAGACAGAGAGAGCGGGAGGGAGAAGGAGGGAGAGAGAGGGAGGGAGGGAGAGAAAGAGAGAGACGAATGAATATCGCGTGGGGAACAGAGCAGGCTGGTGTGAAGAATGACGGTGACGGTCACGTCGAGCCGTCCACGGGTCAGGACGCTCTGTTTGCCCGTGATTGAATGACGATCTGGTTTGGATAATAAGGAATTCTCAGAGCGAGAGAGGTGGATGTGGATGACACTAAGAGTCTGGCCAAAAGAAGAAGAACACGAGAGAAGAACTGCCACCACAACCAACAAAAAGAGACGCCAGAGATGTAACCTGCACTGCCATTAAATAAAAAAAGGCTACAAGAAAGGAGTTTCCGAACAAAGAGCTCTTCAAAATGGATAACTTAAGTTTAACCACAGAAGTGGACAGTTTTAATTCCAGTTCCTCTGGGAACTCCACGAGTGAGTACTCCCTGCCCACCATCATAGGACTGGCAGGACTGGTAAGCTTCCTCATCTTGTTTACTATAGTCGGGAATGTGCTGGTTGTGATCGCTGTTCTAACGAGCAGAGCTCTCAAACCACCCCAAAACCTTTTCCTCGTGTCCCTGGCCAGTGCTGACATCCTGGTGGCCACCCTGATAATGCCTTTCTCCTTAGCTAATGAACTAATGGGTTACTGGCTATTCGGGAAAGTTTGGTGCGATATCTATTTGGCGTTGGACGTTCTTTTCTGCACGTCATCCATTGTGCACTTGTGCGCCATAAGCTTGGACAGGTACTGGTCCGTGACACAGGCGGTTGAGTACAACCTGAAGCGGACGCCTCGCAGACTGAAAGGCATGATCGTGGTGGTGTGGCTGATCTCGGCCGTGATCTCCTTTCCGCCGCTCATCTCTATGGACCGGAAGGACCAGGAGGTAAACGTGAAGCCCCAGTGCGAGCTGAACGACCACACGTGGTACATCCTGTACTCGAGCATTGGCTCCTTCTTCGCTCCCTGCGTCATCATGATCCTCGTCTATGTCCGGATCTACCAGGTGGCTAAGACGCGCACCCGGAGCATGTCAGAGAAGCGCCACGACACGGAGGGTGGGGCCGAGGCACCGCGCCTGGAGAACGGCCTGAGCCAGGACGACTTGAGCCGGGAGAACGGGCACTGCGCCTCGCCACGTCCCAGTGAGCCCAAGCCTGGAGAGGAGGATCCAGATGTGGACTTGGACGACAGCAGTTCATCTGACGAGAAGGCCAAGCGGCCGCACCATGAGCCGACCTCCAGCCGGAAAGACCGCCGGGCCAGCCGCAAAAACAGCTCTAGCTCCAAGCACTCCAGTCGCAAGTCCCGCGCCAGCAGCAAGTCCCTGGACCTGTTCTCCTCCAGGAGAAAGAGGAGGAATACCATGTCCAGGAAGAAGATCTCTCAAGCAAGAGAGAAGCGCTTCACCTTCGTGCTGGCGGTGGTCATGGGCGTATTCGTGGTCTGCTGGTTCCCCTTCTTCTTCAGCTACAGTCTGTATGGAATCTGCCGGAAGCCCTGCGAGATCCCCAGGCCCCTCTTCAAGTTCTTCTTTTGGATCGGCTACTGTAACAGCTCCCTCAACCCCGTTATCTACACCATCTTTAACCAGGATTTTCGCAGAGCGTTCCAGAAGATCCTCTGCAAGTCCTGGAAAAGGTCTTTTTAGAGGAGCCTAGTGACACAAGAGCACCAATTTCAGGTGACAGACAAAAAAAGCCATTGGATGTTTACGAAAACAGAGACGTCTCTTGTACACGTTGCGGCAGCACTATTCAGACACCACTGCCCCCCCTGCATTTATGCCTTGACAATCTTCCCACAACATAGATATTCATAACAATCTGTTTTATTGTATAAGGCTCTGGCCTCTTTAAGGACAGCTGCTGTGGACTGTGTGTACTTACAGTAGCAAGATCTTTCAAAAACGCCCACCTAAAACCGGGCAGCACTGTACTGTATTTGCGGAAACAGGCTAATCTTAATTACAGCCACAGGCACTTCTGACTTATCAAGAGACATATTTATGATGAGTTTGCACATATGGCTTTTCTCTTTGGGACTAGAGGGCTATGTAACATGAAAGGCCATTTCCTTTTTGAACGGAAAGATGTGATAAAAAAGGGAAAAGGAAAAATGAGTTATGTGACTGTATGTTGTTTCTCTCCAAGAGACTGAAACAAAACGGACACTGTTGGTTAGGGAGTAGGGGAGCCTCACGCCCTGCAGAGGGATGTCACTGAAAGACAGATGAGATGTGGGCTTTGCTGACTATTGCCAAGCACCTCCTGAGGAAGCAAAGCCCTGGCAGAACAGGGCTTCATTACCGTAACTGTCCGTCAACTCATGTGCTTTTAATCAACACACTGGATTGCTGCTGATACTCTTTACCACAGAATGCCATTAATGAGAAGAGATATTTGCATTGTTTCTTCAATTCAAACTGTATATGATCTTAAACAGTTCTAAGTATTTATATGACATTACTGCTCTTCAGAATTTGTTTTCCTATCTGCTGATGCTCTTCTGTGCTCACGCTTGTTGGTTGTATCATGTTGTACTATGGCGTTGCATATAACACTGTATGATATACATTACAAAAGGGCAAAACCATTTTTTTCATATCATCTTTGTTTTTTGTATGTTCTGAAATGTCTTGGCCTTCTTGGGCATGGAGCTCTTTTTTAATTTTCTGTCCCATCTTATTGTGATATCTCGGAAATGACCAACCGGTCGCCACAAGCACATTTGACGATGTTCAAAAAATAAACGAATTACACTTCTACTTACTGCTATGAACACGGTGTAAGGTCACTCTACTGTGGTTCTTTCTTCGCTGCTTCTGGCATTGATCTTAACTAGCATAAAGCACGGTTTGAAATCAGCCTCGTTTTGTAAAATCTTCAGATTAGAGTTGGCAGGAAGACTGAAACTGGTCTGATGAATTGTTTTCAACTGCAAATCCAACGCTTAAGCTCCTCTAGAAGGGTGGGAGGAGTGGAGGTCTCCTGATTATGATTAATGTGTTGTAATTTTGAGCAGCTAATGTGTTCTTCTCTCATCATACAACCTGAGAGTAACTTGAACACCCTTTCCGTGCAGATCATTGGAGAGGTTAAATAAAGTAACTTCATTGCAGAATGTTCCTGAGTTGCTGCCCTCTTTCATCAGAAGAACAGGGGACATAGTGTCAGAGAGTCAAATGGAGAAGAACCCCAGCCAAGACACGCAACTCCCACTGACCCTGCCACTACAGAGTGACATCTCAGTCTATTAGAGCTGAAGTACATGAGATGGTGAGTTGAAAGGTCACAAGATGCTGTCTGAATTTGAAGCTTGAAGGAGGGCAACATCAGAGAAAATGTCTATTCAAAGCCCATTCAGAACAATGTGCTTCACCAAATCAGGACCGTCAATGGTGCAGCTGGTTTCGTACGTAATCAGTAATGTCAATGAGCCAGTCAGTTTCACACAGAAATGCAGCAATGTTTTTTTAATTACATCTCTGAAAGCTGTCCGTTATGTAAGAGTTATTTGGCAAAAGATGATGACAAAATAATCAAATTCTCCGTGACTGCAGGAACCCTGCATTCTCATTTAATATCTCTTCTTTTATGGTACATGCCATCCTTTAAATGCCTACGTTTGTCTAAATTGCATGTTGAGCTTCTATTCACACCAAGATATTGAGAAGAGGCTGTAAAGGGATAAAAGAAAAAAAGGCCTTGCCTGAATCATTATTCATCCCTAGTGATGCTGCAGCAGACACTCAAAGCCACTACAAACATCTCCGTCAAAAGCCCAACAGATGAAAAGCTGTAGTGAATTGTACTGTTTATGCATCCCTGATGAATATTTTACTGAGTAGTGTTGAGCATCAAATTCTAAGCCTCGCTGAGGAAAACTGTCAGATCATGAAATACAATTATCTAAAACAATAAATTTGAATAAACAGTTATTTGCTGGTGACGTGTCTTCTCATTCTTGTTGTAAACAAAAAGTTAAACCCATCTTGAGTGAATGTTTGAGGTAACTCAGTCACTCATGCTTGTTTGAGAGAAAAAGAAGGAGTCAGAGAGAGACATTTGTTGGCATATTTAATGCTGGCAGTACACCCACAGCTGTGACCCAAGAATGACCTCTCAATCTGTGCTCATCTTAACTTCTTTATGAGTTGAAAAATGAATTGCATGTCATGTAAGTGCTGCGTTGCGGGTCTGCGAGCATTGCGTTCAATAAGATAACATTTTCCAAACAATTTAATGCAATTTGCATCTCTATCAGCAGCTTCAAACAACTGTAAGCAGTTCCCAGTGGGACTCATTCTCAGGGGTCTTCAGAAGATAAGGCTTTTATGTGCACAGCAGGATCTGATCCAGTCGTAGCAGTCTGTAAAGAGGTTTACCAATAAACCCGTCAAAGTCTTTCTAGGAAAAGGTGAAAGATAGCAAAAGTATTTCCAAAGAAATGCAGTATGGCAGGCATTTATCTGCTGTGCAGATCGCTAAAGGCCAAAAGGCTCTTCTCATCCCTCTAACCTGAGCCTAGATCAAAGATCATCGTATTACAGAAGGTATCAGCTGTAACCGTTCAGTTAATCAGTTAAAATCTCCCTAATCTTACAAATGGTGCACTGCCCCTCAGCCAATTTCAGAAAGATTCACTGATATCTTCACTATCAGGTGTTTATTACGTCATTCTTCTGTCAAGACTGAAATGTAAACTGGCATGCTGAATGCAATTAAGAGTCACTTGTGTGATCTTATCAAACAAGGAGAACCGGCGGCTGCAGCTGACGCATGACATCATCAGTGACGGACATGACTCAGAGGAATAACCTGAGCTTCGCTGAACTTTCAGCCCATTGTTGCCATAGAGACAAGCATGAGATACAGCATGATTTCACCATGTTCACCATTCATCTTGCACTACAAAGCTTTCAAAAGTGGAGAGAGTCAAACAGCTTCTCCTGTGACCTCTGTGAACACAGGTCAAATCAGGTATTGTGCATGTTATTTTTGTTGCACCATGAATGCCAGATGTTCTTTACAGTGTGTGAACATTTCATGATGAACCAACATAAATTGTCGAAAATTACTTGCAATAAAATCCTATTACATTAAAAAGAAGTGTTAAAAGGGTTTTTTTGGAGTAAAGCCATAGAGAAACCACTTTTAGGTCCCTAAATATAAGTGTATGCAAAAAAAAGTACATGTAATTTACAGAGAACATGCTTCTGCACATTTTAGTGCTCAATTACTGTTTATTTTCTGAATTGAACATGAATTGAACATTTTAAAAAATGCCTATATATATATATATATATATATGTGTGTTTTGGTAACACTTTTCTGCATGGTACTGTTTATGAGGCTACGTGACACCTACATACGCTTATGTCCAATAGGTGTTATTCGCTATAAAGATTACATGTGCAAATTCTGAGCTAAAGTAGTCTTTATTACAAATGACACCTATCAAAGTGAGCATTTATAAACATTTATGTAGGACTATGTTAGTTGTCATGATAAGGTTATGTAGGTGTCATGAATAGTACCCTATAGTCATGTTACCTTTTTTCCCAACATGTTAAGCTCAATAAATAAATTAATAGAAAATGCTCATTACAATTTACAGAAAAATGCCATATTTATGTTTGTTCCCTGTAGTGGATTTGCTTGTTTTCATGTAGAATATCAACAAAAATTTGACCAGTGGTTGGTCAAACTTTTGTATGCAACTGTAAACCTTTAACAGATGGTCCTCACTTTGTTAATGAGTTATGTGAGTGTGACAGCTTAAAGAACCTCCACAAAATGTAAAGGTTCTAGAAACCTTTAAAAGCTTCTTTACACTCACAAATCTCATTTCAAACATGGTTCTTTATGTACCAAAAATGGTTCTTCAGTGGGGTCACTCAAAGATGCCTTTAGGGCACCTTTTTCTTAATAGTGTTAATTAATTAAATAATGTGCAAATATAATAGGAGGAAAGTGAATGCAGGAATGAAACAGCACCACAGACTGGAAACCTCATTGAGCCTTACTGTTTGACTGACTTCTTTCTGCAGCTTCTCCAGCTTTTCTTTCTCATGTCTAGAAGATAAAACTTGTTTTTTATTTATCTACAGTTTCCGTAGCTGTGTGTTAAATGTCTTCCGGCTGCCTATCACATCCTGCAGAATGGATTCAACAAAATGGGAGACGATATGAGTAGGTGGTCACAATAGATGGGCTTTTTTCCTGTCGCTTTCACCAGCAAGTGGAGCGCAACAAAAATACAATACATAGAAATGGAGCAATTTCCCCAGTAACTGATAATAAGATGCACTTTCAGAGGAGCTTTTGCATGTGTTTGTGTAGCTAGCCTCATGATTGTACAGGTAAAGGCAGACTGTCCATTAGAGCTGGCCATGCAATTTAGCAAATGGCTGTTGAAAACCTTACTGAAGAGTTTTTGGTATGGTGGTCTACATAGTGATGACATTCGAAAGCTTACAACTACACATGAGCTTATGCAATAAAGGTGTTGGGTACAGATAAACGTATTGTGTCCAGACTTTAATGGGGAATGCTACTTCTACATAGAAAAATGGTTAAGCTATAAATAAAGCCATTCAGAGTGGCTTGATGTGAAACATGTCATTCTACAGAAATGTACCGCATCAGAATTATTTACAGTGGTGGTGATAGGAGGTGTTTAATGCCTTTGAAAGTTACCTCACAGGAAGCTATTGCATAAAATTACAAACATGTTACAATCCCGTTGGCTGATGTCTGAGACATTGATTATGTTTCCATGCACAGCGATAATATGATCATTATTGGATTTCTACAT